ATAATACACGATGGATGAATGAATGTGACTATCAAGCTATTGCAGCACATGCAAAACATTTAATTATGCCACTGAAACATTGGGGCTGTGTGTAGATTAATCCAACTTTGATCTATTTACACTGCTCCAAGAAATTACGCGAACACTAAAATATGTTTTCATCGTGGTCAGATAACCTTTACTGATATACTTTGTGTAATTAAAGTGAAGTAAAAGTGGAAACCAAAATCCTCACACCAAAGTCAAACATAAATTCACAGGCTGTTCCAGCTTGTGTCATAATGTGCCTCGGTAATGTTTACTGGATATGTCTGGATATACTCCTGATGAGATACTGGATAGTATCCTGGAAGATCTCCTCCCAGATTTGTTTCAAGGCATCAGTGAGTTACTTGATAATCTATTTGGCTAGTTGACAGTCAGTCTGAGGATTTCTCTCTGGTATCATATAGCAGTCAGGGTATCACTGACCAAGCAGGTGGAGGTCTGTGCAAGCCTCCAAGGATATGCTTCCCCAGACTATCACTGACCCACTGCCAAAAGGTCATGTTTATCATGGCGTCCACAATCTCTTTAAAAGCTGTCATATATGCTCAGTGTGCACAGGTCTCACTAAAGGACATAAGACCGTTGTAGGTCTAATTCTAACAGTTTTGTCAGGGGCATGCACATCAGTAGCCTTATTTTGTAGAGCTCTTGCAGTACTCCTCCTCACCCTCTTTAGAGCAAAGAAGCAGATACTTGTCCTGCTGCTAGGTCGTTGCTTTTCTATAGCTCTGTCCAGCTCTCCTTGTGGCACAGCCTGTCTCCTCCTGGTATCTCCTCCACACTCTCGGGACTGTGCTGGGATACACAGCAAACATCTACTGGAGGAGGTGGACTACGTTTGCATCCTAAATGGGATGCAGGTACAATTTCATGCAAATAGTAGTGTCAAGGACGCTAGCAAAAATTAAAACAAGAGAAAAGGGTTAAGGAAGGAGCAGTGGTCTGAGGCCACTTGATGCTCCTCCAGTGCAGCGGCTGTGACTGTCATCCTAACTGGACAGACTGATTTCCCTGAAGCTGAACTGACTTTGTGTCATAGTGTGATGATCAAGTGTTCCCTTCATGTTTTTAGAAGTGTATTCGACTCCAAAAGTGTCCTCCCCCGTTGCCGTCCAGACCTCTACATGCTCTCTTTCCTCCATCTTGGACATTCAAGTGTTACTGGAAACATTTAACTGTGGTTACTGGTTTTCTTGTGCAGAGAACGGACAAACAGTCCAAACCCTTAACAATGTTGTTGTGTAGCGTCTTCATTTGATATAAGACTTTCTTTAACAATTAAGCTAAAATGGGCGTTTTATTTAATTTCTCTTCTATATTAACTCTCGATAATCAAAGTAATTCACTCATTAAGTTTGTTGGGATTCAGAATTGGCAGCAACAGCGTAGTTAGTCTTTTTAGTCTGGCTTTTACTCATATTGAGGACTCATAAAACATTCAGAGATCAATTAAAGCTCAAAGTGATGTCAGAAAATCGCCGTAAATACGCCTCCTTCTCCCATTTATGCCTTAAATTAATCAGTTGTCTGGTTTTGCATGTATTTGTTGCTGTGCAGTTCTTTCCCCCTTCACACATTTGTTACATGGTGCACATTAATACAGTATTTTTCCTCTTATATTGTGAGTTCACTGGATAAAGTCTACATTAAAAATTCAAGTGCCGCTACTTAGTACAATCAAATGTGAAACATAGTGATGCTATCTACTGAAGACATTCATGTAAAATACCCAGAAGTAAATATGAAACTTGTGGTTGTCGCACAGTTAAGAGTCAGATAATGACGCTTTAAATATTGTAACCTGTGAGCATTAGGTTTCAGGATGAAGTAAAAACGTTTGATTATTGGCAACTTTTTGATGTTTTAAGCACGCACTGTGGTTGTGTGAAGTGTCTTGTTGTCTATACGAAGCAGGATTTTTGTCGTCTGTGGCTGAAATAAAAAAGTTTAAATAATGTGACAGTGCTAATAAAGTTACAATACAGGAAGTACTGACACACATTTATTTGTGCCCCATCTAACGCCTGAATTATAACTGCTGTAGCTGTTAACAGAGCTCTAAGTGTGCAACTTCAGCACCGCAGGGTTGCTTTGACCTTTAGCTCACACTGAATACATTTGTAACACCACTGAAGAGATTCACAACTACGTGAGTGCTAAATGATCAATGCACAAACAAAAACAAACCAACCACGACATCATGTTTACACAGGTTTGACTTTATTAAGTGACTGATTGGCGATGTGGGACAGATACATCCTTTATTAGCAGAATCACACAGATTCAAGCGTTTGTGTGCGACTGGACATTCTGGGGTCAATCTGAAGGCAGAGTAAAGGAGCTACCTGACTTCTTTAATCATACAATATGACTAAAAGGTAGGAAAGGACATTCTTTTAGCTCAGCTGGTATTCATTTGAATATTTAAAAAGGTGGCATCTCAACCATATCCCGTCCTCCACGGGCACCACTGATCTTACAATAGAATATTTTCTTCTTGTGCTCTTTAATTGCTTCATAATGAATCTAAGCCGTCGTAACTTTGAGACTTTTTTTTCCCCTTTTGCTTTTAACACAATGAAAATAAATATCAATTTGCATAAGTTATGCTACATGAATGAGCCTGACAGTAGTTACCTTAGCTTTCCTCCTGAGCTTTTAGGAGCACATGGTGATATTAAAGGGGCGAGTAGAGTACGTGCTTTTATTATTGGCCAACATTTTAAAACTCTTTTAAAAGTTCTGTAATGTTCATGTGAGTTTATACACACTATGGCTGCTGTTGTTATTCCCCTGGCATCCGTGTTAGCACCACATTTCTGTTTCATAATCAAATAGCTGTTAAGGTATCATCATGGTGATGAGGTTAGCCAGGACTTCTTAAGAAATGAACACACTAACAGCAGCTTTGACCGGTACCAACAACAGGACACATAGTTTACACTACAGACAATAAAAAGATACTGCTCTCTTAGATAAGACCAGTGGTTCTCAAACCGTGGAGCAGGGAGCAACTGCAGGTGGGCCGGAGAGGACCAGAGGAGAAATGTTTTTAGGAAACATAAACAGAACAAAGAACAGGATGGAATGAACTTTAAATGCTAAAAGACGTGTGGGCGTTGACTTTGAGCATCACTTGGTTCTCTAAATCTGCCACTGCAGAAGTCCCTCTTCTGTCATGCTTGAGCACATAAATACAGGACAGGTACCATGTGAGGGAACTTCTTCGCTGGCTTCTTATGTGTGCATCATATTTTGCAACAGTAACATTTTTCTTCAACATCTCCCGATATATAAAAATACAATAAATAACAACAATGTATTTATAACATTGTTTTATATGTGGGTAAGATATCAAATACCAAAAAAAAGCAATAAAATAAAATAAAATAAAGAAAAGAAAAGAAGAGAAAAAAAAGATTCCCTTTCATCTCAGTACACATTTATATATCGCATCCCTTTCATGCTTTCCTGTACATACGCGCGTAATCTACAGCAGACACACAGACTTTGGTCTAAAAGAGCGTTTTTATGTTTTTGTTTCTACTGAACAAGTTAAAAGAATCAATCTGCGATGTTTCTCTGCAACTGGTGTGCTGACCTGCAACTTATAACAGAATGCAGTTACCAGAGAATTCCTCCAGATGGAGACAAAGGGGGTTTACAGGCATGCGACTGTCCTGCATTAAAAAAAAAGACAAAGGGTTACTTGTGCGTGTTTTATCCACAGAAATTGCAAACTTGCAATATCCTTAAGAGACTGGGTGCTGTTAATAAATCTAACCACAACAGAGAGAAAACCTCTCCTTTTCTCTGCCTCACGTAGACGGACTAAAGCAGCTACCGGAGCGTGATATGTCGACTGGTCTTGTTTGATTTAGGAGGAAAGGAGACAATGGTTGAGAACTGGGGCAGGAGAGGGGATGAGTTAACAGTGAGATGCAGAAAATGTTCTATTTGCTGTTCAGCTCCTGTCTTAGCCGGCAGCCCACGGCTGTGATGAGTGCAGCTCCTTTTCCACTTCCATCCTCTGACAGCAAGAACTTGACATTACAGTTTGGAGCCAGTTCTTTAACCGTCTGGTGCATGATCAGGGAGAAGCTACACAGAGACAGAGGATGTACATGTTAGACAGAAAAGCAAAAAGAGCCAGTCTGATGATACGGTTAATGGGTGTGACAGTGACACAAGAGGGAGCGAAGGTATGGTTTACCATCTCCTCGCCAAAATGAATCATGTTCAAAAACAAAAGAAAGACAACCAGGCCTCTACTATCTAACCGGGAAACAGGCTTTTTTGCATAGCTTAGCATAAAATAAAAGTTGTTTTCACACATCCAAAAAAGAAATCAGAGAATCAGATACGGACACTGCCTGCAGTTTTGCTTCCTCAGTTTTAGCACACAGCAGGAGCTCATTTCTATCAGCTGCAGTACCACAGTGGAGATGTTTCGGGGTGTGCAGGAGATAGCTACTTGCTAGCTTTGAATTCACAGGAGTATTATGTGGACTGGTTTCACAAAACAATGCAATCAGCCATCACACAGACTTTCCACACGGGATTTGGAGAGTTAATGACAGTTTAAAATCGGATCTGCACCACCATCTTATAAATAAAGGAAAGCTTATGTGTCAGCTCAAGGGTTAAGGCACAATAAATCAACTTGCCACTGATTCGTTCGTTCGAAAACATGTCCAAACCAATGACCTATTAATGACTATGTCTCCTAAGTAGTGCTCTTGTGGTGACACTGGACATAAGAACAAACGAGCAGAGAATATTTACTTAACCTGAGGTTTTTCTCTTGCATTGTGCAACACATGCAGTGAATCTCATATGCAGTTATAACAGGACTGAAGCAGGACTCAACTTGACACAAGACTCTCTGTGCTATGTGTACGCTTTAGTTAATATGCTACTTTGACTGCATTGGCTATCTTGCGACTGCTATTTAATGTCAAATGCTTACTTTTAGCTTATTTAGCTTACTTCCAAATAAATTTATCACCATGACTACAAAGATACCTTTTTGTGAAAATGGTGACATAACACAGCAGCTTATGAGGTCATCATATGCCACTTCACTTCAGTTGCCAGTGAATTATTTTTAACATATGAAATAATAAATAAATTAATGGATTAAACTTACTGTGGATGTAATTTGTACAGGGTCCCGTCTACCCCTACGGTGACGTCCAAATGGTCCAGTCCACGGTTCTCTCTAATCTTATCGACCACTGCCGCCATTCCTGCGCCACATAGCTGAGCTGCACGACGTGACACTGTTCCACAAACCTAACAAAGAAGACATTTATCATTATTGCAACAGCTTTTTGAGCCACACAAGTACATATCAGTCAAACTGAGAACAAATACAGCCTAAGTTTCAGTTTCTCTCCTACTCCTGTGTCACATAGTCTTTCATAAAATAAGGCTAACAAGATAGTATTATGGTTCTCTCTCAGTGTCCAAATGCAAGTCTAAGACTTTGATTACTAACTAACTAACTCTTCTTTACCTCTTTGACTATGATACTGTCATCACAGGTGCTGTCCAGGCCCAAGTGTTGCAGGATTGATCGCACCTGCAGCAAAGCCAATCTGTCACTGTACAAAGACACAAACAGAAAGTCATTAAAAGATGACAAATGAAACTTTAGTAAGGAGACAGGAGCAATATCTTATCATTAAATAGACAACACAATCAGTGGTACGATAGCAAGCGGTGCTAATGGAGTATAATCTCCTGTCCAGGTGACTTCTTATCTCGTGGAAGGGTGAACTGACACTCTTATTAGACGCAAGCAAATATAGCGTTCATTGTTTACCTTTCTATCTGTGACAGGAACTTTGTTTCAAAGATGCTTCTGGTCTTTAGTGTTTCAGAAATCTGTCCTCTGAACAGGAATCCTTTTTTGGTCATGTCGATGAGGATGTTCCGCACGATTTCACCGAGGTACATGCCGCTGATCATTTTCTCATATCTAAAATGCAGAATTCAAGCAAAGACAAAGGAAACATAAATATACGGTATTTACATGCACCTCAAAGATATGAATGAATGCCCTGTATCTTTTCAAGCATGGGATGGTGTGTATGAGGCACCTTTGTTTCCCCGGGTTTAGGGAGAAGTCGTCCACAGAACGGTCGTACTCTGTCCTGATGTCGTCCAGGCATCCGTTGTCTCCAAAAGCTCCCCACTCCATGTTGACACACATCTGTCCCTCATCGCCCTCAATCATCTCAACGTTCTTCATCTCTTCCATGTAACACGCATTACTGCCAGTACCTGTAATCAGAGAGACGCATTATATAGATATAGCACAAAAAAGCTGAATATTTTATAAAAACAAGTGTTACTTTAAGGTGAACTAACCGGCGATAAGACCAACTTCACAGGTGGGTTCTTCATAGGCACAGGTCATCATGGTTCCCACTGTATCATTCACTACAGCAACCACGTCCAGATCAAATTCCTTCAGACCAGACAAACAATATGACGTGCCACAAAAACACCATGATTCCATGTTGTACTGAGTGATGCTGCTCCTCATATCCTCATACCTCTCTCCTCTTAATGGCGTCCCTCAACAGTCCCACCACATCTTCCCCTTCGCAGTCTGTCGCCTTGAAGCCTTTGGTCCATGTCACCAAGATGCCCTGTACACAGATTCACACAAGTTTAGTTTATCATGTGACAACTTCATGGATGGCTCAGGCATCAGTTCATGAAATGCTATTTGGCTTTTTTTCCCTCTTGATGTTGCTTAACGGTGGACAAGTTATGCATAAATCACAGCTTTAGTTTGCAATACAGCCAGTTTAAGACTCTCAGAGTATAGAAGAAAGTACAGGGCTGTACATAAAAGACGAAGAAGCAGGAGTATTACTCACAGCGTCCAGGCTGGTCTGTCGGCAGGGGAAGGAGAAGGTGAAGCCCAGAGGAAGACGGGCATTCTTCATCCCCATGTAGTCCAGGAAGTCACTGATACAGTGCACGATGTGATCGAACAACTGGAAAAATAAAAAAGTGACACATTAAAAATTGCATTTGTAAAGTACATCACTAGTCTTAATGATGACTCAAAGCACTTTACGCCATAAGGCCGTATTTGCTCCTTATCACAGAAACCAGAGGAAAGTCTCTCTCTGCATGTACTGTGATAATTAACATCCAAAACGCTGCATAATTTCAATTAGAGGAATTCAAGAATGATGCAGTTTAGAGTGTTGTGGTTAAATTTATTATTTTTTTGCCCATGCACTAATCTGATGCATTGTGTGTGAAATGCATTGTTATATTAGGACACAGATGATTTCAAAGACATTTAAAATGATCTGCGTGGCAAATCTGATTCATTAATGGTCACTTGCTTTGAATAATGGGACCTCTGAGAATTACTGAGAAACATGTGATAACACTAAAATACATAACACATGCTGTAAAGGTGTTAAAATTATCCTATTGTAAAGAGCATCTGTTAAATATCACTCTCCTGTCCTGTTTCCAGAGGAGTGAGACTAAAGAAGTCAAAGGTGACTGGATTAGCTTAAGCTGGTTCTTAAGGGTTAAGTTTAAAGTTCTCTGTTTTAGAGATTGTCAACTCGATGCCAATCTAAGCCAGTCAACTTTTCTAATTGTCCCTCTCTAATTGTCTGTCCCTAAACTTTTGACCCTCCTCCCAGCTTCTATCCTATTTACTTATCTCTTAAACCAACAAGCCTCACATCCCCCATCTACCATCCTAATCTTTACCCTCTATTTAACGGGGAGATATTCACCAGTCCTCCTTTCGTCGCAGTTACCTGCCGGTATAATTTTACACCGTTAACTCTAGATTACAGGCTGTTTATCTCACCTCCTCCCCTGTGCCCTGCATCACTTCGAGAGGAATAGCGTAGATCTTGTTGTGCATCTCCACTGATCTCCTCTTCCCAGAGCGAATTTTAACCAACAGAACTCTGAAGTTGGTTCCTCCTAAATCTAAAGCCAGGAAATCACCATGTTCTGGACACACAGATAAACAAAACAAGAGAAAGATAAATGACCAGCGGTCAAAACATTCAAACGTATTAGGAAAAGACTTAATAGGCAATGTAAGCTTGAAAAACAGAATAAACAGACTAATCTTTTATCTTATGGCCATAGGTTTTCCATAATATTCATACAGTTATGTGGGTACATGTGTGTTGCTGTGTGTGTACAGAGCTGAAGCTGTTCTATTAAGAAAAACATATTTTTTTTGTTAAAGCTGCAAGAGTTGCAGAAAGAAAAGGTGTGAAGTAGTGAAGCCAACGGTTCCTTCTTCCCGAAC